AGGCACACAGTGCTGGTGGCATTCCTGTGGTTCCACAGCCCCAAACCTGCATGGGATTCTCCTGCTGCCCAGGGGGAACTTGGATCCAGGCTGGGCACAGCATGGTGCAGGTACAAGCTCAGCACGTGGGTGGGGTGCAGGGTACAAACCGAGGGTCAGCTTGGGAATATGATCCGTGTGCACTCTCCCCAGAATCACCTCCAGCAGGGCAGAGGCACCTCCAGAGCCACAGCAGGAGCAGCTTCTCTCCATCCCTTTGTCCAGGCACTTTCCTTGCCAAACGACAGCCAGGATACCCCTGTTCCCCTCCTCTGCCCCTGCTGCCCTGTGTCTTTCCTGTGGGTCCCAGAGCAGAGTCCGTGGCAGCACAGGCTGAACTCCCCCCTGCCCAGCCTGGCAGATTCCTCTGTAGTTTTCCAGGAACCAGCTCCGGAGCCATGGGCAGCACCTTTGCATGTTGCAACAGATGCCTTGTGCTGTTTGCCAAAGGCCCACCCTGTCTGTGAACCTACATCGGGGTAGAACTATGTCTGCTGCTGCCTCCTATGGTGATACCTGCTCTGCCACCCTGTCATCTAACATGTCCCTAAAAACCAGCCAAGGGGTTCTTGGGAAGAGCAGGGGATGGGCGGGGAGGTGAGGGCAGTGGTGCGTGGCTCAGCCAGTGCCAGGCCTGCGGTTCTACTGAAGCTGGGACAAGCCCCTGCCTGCAGTGTTGTGTCTGAGGCTGATCTGCAGCCCAGGCATGTCCCCCTCCCTGCTGCCTCAGACCGGCTCACAAAAACAAGACAGGTCACTTTTTTAGGGCAGGTTGAGCTGTGTAGGGTAGAGGGGGTGAATGATGCCTCTTCCCCACCTTTGCTCCACCTATGGAGCTCCTTCCTGGGGAGATAAATGGATGATGGGATACCTGACAACTTGCTCAGGGCAAATGGGGGTGGCCAAGGCAGGACTGCTCAAGGGGTTCCTGTGCTGGAAATTGTTTCAGAGTAGATGCCAGGGGCTGGAGCTGCTGCTGGGTACATGCCTTGGAGAAGCAGCTGCAGAGCCGTGCACCGGGGCTGGAACAAAAGCAGAGGCCCAAGCCCCAGCTGCAGCACGGGACGTGTGAGGAATTAATCGAGACATGAGCTGGCAGCATTGTGTGACCACGGGCTGGCAGGGGGTCCAAGCTGGATCAGGGCTCCTTACCTTGGCACCAGCTTCCCGTTGTTCACCCTAACTCCCAGAGCTGGCAGTGAGAGCCAAGCAGCCACACGTGTGCTGCAGCCCCTCTCGGCAGGGAGGCAGCCGAGCCAGGGGAGTAAAACCTCTCATGCTGAAGGAGCCCAGTGCCCTGCAGAGTCCCTGCCCCAGTGCAACCCCCTGGTGCTGCTCACCCAGCACATGGCTCCTGGGCCATGTCCCCATCTCCAGACAAATCCCCTGGTGCTCAGGACCCACAGGTGAGGTCCCCTCCTGGCCGTGGGGCCAGGGCAGTGCTGCTCTCAGCAGGCTCCCACCAGCACAAGGTCATGCCCAGATAAGTCCATTCCTTAATTTGTGCTGAGTGTGCTTTAGCCATAGTAGTTACTAAGTAGGCAGCTCCTGTTGGGCCACAGTATTTGTTGGCTGCACTTCTTATCTCTTTACTTTGCTGGGCTTTGGGAACATGTTAGCACAAACCATGGCTCTGTGTTTTGCTGTGGCACTGATGGCCTTGCTCTGCTGGGGGAGCTGCCTTGTGGAGAGGATCAGGGAATACATCTCCCTCTTCTTACCCAGGACTGATGTGGGTGGCTTTGTTGTGCAGGCTCAAGAGGTCCCTGTTCACCCTTACATGAGCCGTTTAAAACTACTAATTAACAACTGGGGGTTTGTGGCAGCAATTTACAGTCTCTGCAGGTAGCTCCTCTCAAGTGTGAGGGCAAGATATCTATCCAGGGAAGACCTTGTGAACTACTCAGGAAAGTGCACCAGCACAGGTGAAGGCATCCAGCACCTGAGAGAATTTAGTAATGCTGGAGGTCATCTACAGTGATCTAGACAATGATGATGTCTTCAGAAATCCAGAGGGTGTTCAGTGCACACATGCTGTGTGGAAGAAGGTGATTCAGAGTGTCCCAGTGTCATTCTGGCAGCTTGGCAGCAATGTATTATCCAGATATGAAAACACCTTATTAGCTCTAGAACTTTGATGAAATATCTGTCCTTCCTTATGCATATAAGCCAGTGCTTGGCTGCCAGGGACACCCCAAGAAGTCAGTCCCCTCCTGCCCTGCTCAGAGGGAGAGTGAGCCCCAGATGCATGTGCTGTACTCTGTTTCCTCTTGCCTGAGCAGGGGAGGACAAGAGGCAGTGGGATGGTGAACCCAGCTTTAAGCAGAAAGCCCATATATGAGATGTGAGAGGGAAGAGAGCTGTTAAGAGGAGGAAATCCCAAGAAGGCTGCCAATATAATTGCTGTAGAGGCACAAGAAGGCAACTGTCTTTCAGAGTAACCACTATGAGTGCTTAAGCCCTACTTCCCCGAAAGCAGCTGGACATCACCTGCTGATGGGAAGTAGGGAATAAATCCTTTGCTTTCCTTAGCTTCTGCATGCAGCTTTAGCTTTATTAATCTGCCTTTATCTTGACCCACAAGTTCTTTTCCATCTTACTTTCTCCCTGCCCTATCTGCTGAGGAAGGGAGTGCTAGAGCAGCTTGGTGGGTAACTGGTGTCCACCACAAATGCCAAACCGGTTGTTATCCAGCACAGCAAGACAACCAGACTGCACAGCCTCTGGGAGCCAAATCAGACCGGGCGCATCCCTGCACAGGTAGGCAAGTGACTCCACCAGCTGCCAGCACCCACAGATTACCCTGGAGGTACAGGGGGCCCCTCGAGCATGAGCACGGTCAGCTGGGGTCACTGGCCATGTGGCATCTTTGGCTGAGCTGCAGGGATGTGCTGCCCTCCCTAAAGCCTGCAGGCAGCTTCCCCTGAGGATTAGGTGTCTGCCAGGCCTGACAGGGGTGGTGCAGGAGGGCAGAGCATGGCACAGTGCTGCAGCAGAGCACCATGCCTCTACTGCCTTGGCAGGATCTGCCGTGGTGGCTCTTTCTTGTTCAGGATCAGGGCTCACCCCTTATATGCTGAATCAGATCCCTGATCAATAAATACTGGGAAACAGGACTGAATGGCTGCCAGGCAAAGGGAACTGGGCAGGGGCAAGTGTGCCCTGCTCAGAGGCTCACTCCAGCAATGCATGGTCCTGACAGAGCTGGCATGGGCATCTGGACTGGTTTGGAGGGATCTCCCAGGGGGTGGTGCAGGCTGCATCTCTCCCTGGTACCAGCAGCATCCTGCACTTCTGCCCTGGAGCTGCTGTGGAGTGCTGTGCACACTCCTGGAGCTCCCACATTTTCCCCAGGCTGCCATGGTCCCCTACTGCCAACAAGCCTCGACCTTGGGCCCTTGTGCTGCCCTCCACCTCCTCACCCCCCTAGGCTTTCCTTGTTTCCCATCCCTTCCAACAGATCACTGAGGTCAGTATTAATATAATCCCTGGCTTAATTTAAATCCTCCTCCCATCTCATGCTTTTCCGCAGGGAGAACAGAATGGATGCCCTTTTGTGGCACCCACTCAGTCCTGGAGCTGATACAGGATCCAGATGGCCAAAAGCCCTGGATGTCCGTACCAGAGGTCCCTGCTCTTCCCCCCTGGAGAAGGTGTCCAAGGCATGTTGCAGCCCCAGTGAGATGTGTCCCCAAGTTTCAAAGGTGTATCTCGTTAAGCACCAGGCACTATTAGAAAGAAAAGTTGATGATGCCAACCACAGGGGAACACACAAGTGGCTGCTGCTCCCCAAAACCCCTCTGCAGCCTCCTGGGGGTCTGGTTTCCCTCTCCCTCTGCTCTCACTGTCTGGGCGAGGCTGGCCACAATTTTCCCTTTCAATGTAATGTTTGTATTAGCTGTTCTTCCCCAGAAACCTCCTTAAAAACATTCTCATTCCTGGCCCTGTGGGATATCGTGAGGGTGGGGAAGTCTTGCTCTTTCAGGCAGCTGTCACTGAAGTGACAAAGTGGGGACAGGGGGACTATGAGAAGAGTGACAGGGGCAGGCAGTGAGGGGACACAGGTGGGACTGTGAGGGGACTGACAGGGAAGGGCAGTGAGGGGCTGCGGTGCGACATGTGGGACTGTGAGGGGACAGGAGACCGGGGACTGGCATTAAGGGGGCTGCGGGGGGCAGGGGACATGCGGGGACTGCGAGGAGAGTGACAGAGGGGACTATGAGGGGAGTGACAGAGGGGACTGTGAGGGGAGTGCCGGGGGCGAGCAGTGCGGGGCTGCCGGCCACAGTGGGGCCATGCAGGGACTGTGGAGGGGAGTGACGGGGGGTGCTGTGGGGGGCACAGGGGGACACTGACGGGACGGGGGCTCGAGGAGCGACAGGGCAGGCAGCGAGGGGGCACAGGTGGGACTGTGAGGGGGGACTGTGAGGGCGCTGAGGAGGCACGGGGGAAAACATGCGGGACCGTGACGGGGCTGAGAAGGCACAGGCGGGACATGCGGGACCGTGAAGGGAGTGAGGAGGCACAGGGGCGACAAGCGGGACCGTGATGCCAGTGACCGTGGCACCGTGAGGGGGCCGAGGAAGCACAGGGGGGACATGTGGGACTGTGAGGAGAGTGACGAGGGGACTGTGAGGGGGCTGAGGAGGCACAGTGAGGACATGCGGGACCGTGAGCGGAGCGACCGCGGCACCGTGAGGGGGCCGAGGAAGCAGAGGGCGGGCATGCAGGACCGTGATGGCAGTGACCGCGGCACCGTGAGGGGGCCGAGGAAGCAGAGGGCGGACATGCGGGACCGTGATGGCAGTGATCGCGGCACCGTGAGGGGGCCGAGGAAGCACAGGGCAGACATGCGGGACCATGATGGCAGTGACCGCGGCACCGTGCGGGGCTGCGGGGCGGGTCCTGCCTGCCGAGGGCGGGCCCTGCCGGCCGGCGGGAGGCGCGTGCGCGGCGCAGGCGCGGGGCTGAGCGGCACCTGCGCCCCGCGGGCCGGGCGGCGGCGGCGGCCGGAGGGCGGTGAGGGTGAGGTAAGGGCGGGCCCGGCGCCACCGCCCCGGCCTGGGCACCTGCGGAGGGAGAGGGCTGGAGAGCCGCCCCTTTACCCCGGCCCGTGCCGAGGGGGCCCCTCGCGGGTGCCGCTCCTCGGCTGCGGGCTCCTTCCTGGCCGCTCCCGTGGGGCGGGATGGGACCCGCCGGAGGGTCTCGCCTCCGCCGAGCCGGGGCCTGGGGAGCAGGGGGGAGTCGGACCTGGCGTGCCCACCCCGCTGTTGGTACCTGCACACAGGTGCTGGCGCCCTGCGAGAGCGGCTCGGCCCTGCTGCAGTGGGGTTCAGCATCCGGATAGCTCGCAACGGGACCAGCGATGTCAAGGCTGTGTCACGGTGCCGGCAGCGTGCTGACCTGAGCCCTGCTGCTGAGTCCTGCAGGCTCTGGAGCAGCCCGACATAACCTATTAGTCATTTTTAAAAAGAGTCACTTGCTAACAGAGTATATTTAAACAGAAATTCTGCTCGGGGCAGATGGCCTGTGCCAGGAGGAGTGACAGTGACAGTGGTGACAGTGACTGTCTTAAACATCCCTCAGGAAGGTTTGGAAAGGAACAAGGGAATTGAGCAGTTCACCTGCTCACAGGGCAGGATTTCCCCTAAGCCATGGGCCATGGGGAGTTGTGCTGCAGTTCCTGTTTGTCTCTTCTGACATTTGCATTTTGGTCTTTGCTTTAGAAATACTGGGTCACACACTGCTCCTCAAATAGCCCATCAGCTTAGCTCAGCTGGGCTTGGTTTGAGGTGTTTCTGTGCAGGGAAGTGAAATTTGTGAGCCTTTTGTGCAGAAAGTGAAGAAACTCACTTAAAGCAGAAGTTTCTGCTTTTGGCTTTGTGGTAAGCACTGTTTGAAAGGGCTGCAAAAAGAGCAGAATCAAGGTTGAAGAGGGCCCCCCGAGGTTAAGGCAGAAAGCTGGGTTTGGCCTGGAAGGAGCAGGAGTGCTGATCTGAGCAGTGCCACACGCTCCTGCTTCAGTGGGTCGGAGATGTCATCACTAAGCAGCACTACTCATCCACACCCTTCCCAGGAATGTTGGTAGCAGGTGTAAGCAAGCTCCTTGTCTTTTCATCCCAGGCTGTTCTCAGCTGGCTCACTTTCTGGTTAGTAGATTCTGGTGCGTGTTCAATCCTCAAATCAGATTCCAGGGTGTGAGTAGGCAGGACAAGCAGATCACAGTTATTATAATCCCCTGGATTGAGGGGAGACACAGGTTGCACAGCCTGTGCTCTCCTGTCAGAGCTCCTTCAGTTGTTCTCTTCTTACCTGGGGTTCAGCATGCACCTTGTAGTGGTTCTGTACTGGGCTGTGTTCCATTTCACTCAGGGCAAGGGAAGCTCCTCAGTGCTTTGTTCTTGCTGTTTTACTCAGTACTGCACGTGCAGGTTCCTAGAGCTCTGCTGTTGTCCTTCCATCCTCACTCAGCATCACAGACTGAAAGCCAACGAGGGCAGCCCTGGTAACCTTGATGACTGATGTTTGTTTTTTAGTGACTGATACACTGGAGGAAGCTGTTCCCTGGACAGTCCTGGAGACAGAGCAGGTACAGTACAACACCCAACAAACCTCTTATTCCATGTCAGGCCTTTACCCTAGCCTGCACAGTGTCCCTGGGAGGGAGAGGGTGCACTGGCACTTGGCCTTGAGGGTGCTGACTAAGGAACCTGTGGTGTCTGGGTGGTTGCAATGTGAACCTGCAGCTGAGCCTGAGCAAACTGGGCTGTGACAGGCAAAGAGCAGCTGGTCCTGTGCTGGGAAACCCCTTCCAGCACCGGGATCACGCGCAGCTGCGCTGGCAAGGTGAGTCAGCATCCTCAGGGTGATTAACAACTGGCTTGACAAATGACTTGTATTGGTATTAGACCTGCACATCTATGGCATCCTTCCAGCAGAGCAAGTCAGAGAGGAGAAATTGTTTAGCTGGTGATGGCACAGTGGACAGGAAGGCCTGGTGATGGCCACCCCTGGTGATTTTGCTGTTTCTGTGATAGCCTCACAGGATGCAGGCCCAGAGAGATGTTTCAAGTAGTGATGATGTGTTTGGAAAAACTGGGCAAGCTTTCTGATACAGAGTTTTCACCAAAAGTGCTGTAATTGATACTAAACTCTCAACAGTTGTTTTTACCTTGCACTTAAAGGGGTCATGTGCTATGTGCTGCATCCATTTTGGACCTGATGGAGGACTTGATTGCCTGAAAGTTTGTCCAGTTCCTAGCTCTAAACTCTCTAATAGGACAGATTAGGATGATAAGATCTCTCTAAAAACAGACATCACTTCCTTAGACACCTCACTTAGACTGAGACTGTCTTATGCTGTAATGTTAAGTTTCCTTGGCATTCTGTTTGATCAGTGAGCTGTTAGCATCTTTCTTCTCCATTGTCATAACAGTGTAATTAGACTGATGCTAGGAAAATAAAAGCTCTAGACACTGATTTCAGGTGTCTCATCCTGCTCATGGCTGTACATAAACTGCCAGCGAGGCACTATGTACAAAATTTCAGAAATGGGGATGGAAATACCATATTCTGTTCTGCAGAACCCACAAGTCCAATGCTGTTTTGTTCTCCTGGTGAACCCTGCAGATTGCCCTGGTACCCTGTCCCTCCGTGCTGCTGCAATGAGCGGGAAGTCCTTGCTCCTGAAGGTGATTCTCCTTGGAGATGGTGGAGTGGGGAAGAGCTCCCTCATGAACCGCTACGTCACCAACAAGTTTGACTCGCAGGCGTTCCACACCATTGGGGTGGAGTTCTTGAACCGGGACCTGGAGGTGGACGGGCGCTTTGTGACCCTGCAGATCTGGGACACTGCGGGCCAGGAGAGGTTCAAGAGCCTGCGGACGCCCTTCTACCGGGGAGCAGACTGCTGCCTGCTCACCTTCAGCGTGGACGACCGGCAGAGCTTCGAGAACCTCAGTAACTGGCAGAAGGAGTTTATCTATTATGCTGATGTGAAGGACCCTGAACACTTCCCATTTGTAGTCCTGGGCAACAAGATAGACAAACTGGAGAGGCAGGTGAGCACAGAGGAGGCCCGGGCCTGGTGCATTGAAAACGGTAACTATCCCTACCTGGAGACTAGTGCCAAGGATGACACCAATGTGACAGTGGCCTTTGAGGAAGCTGTGCGGCAGGTGCTGGCGGTGGAGGAGCAGCTGGAGCACTGCATGCTGGGCCACACCATTGACCTCAACTCCAGCTCCAAATCAGGCTCGGCCTGTTGCTGAGAGTGGCTGCTGCTGCTTTGGGAGCAGCTGGATCAAACACCCTGGGCAGCCCTGGGCCTCTCTGAGGAGAGTGGCCACAAGGACAAGAGGTGGTTTGCTCACTGGGGAGCTGCAGCCTCACCATCTGAATCCTGCCTGGGGTTTTCAGGCACAGAGCATGTATCTGCAGGAGGGAGCTGTTAACAGAGCATGTGAGCATAGTCTTGCTTTCATCTCTGCCTGAGCAGGTTTAAAGGGCTGAGTTCAAGTCCTTTAAATTCCCTAAAGACAATAGGGATTTGTTCTCTACCAAGAACTGCCTGCAGAGCAAAGCTGAGAGCATCCTAGACATTGAAGTATTTTAGTCCTGAAATAAAAAAAAAAAATAGACCCACTCATGACCATACTGCCAAAGGAAATCCCACTCAACATACTGAACAAAACCTGTCCTAAAGACTCTGGCCCATGTGACTGTGAGAAAGCCAAATAGTGGAGTGGCTGGGATGTGTGTCTGTTGTTTGGGATAAATGTATTGTGTTCTGAGGTTGAAATGTGATAAGAATTGTTAGAGCTCTGACCAGAAGCAACATGTGAAGGAGAGAGGGGCCTGTGTTTGAATGTGACAGTATTGTTTCTTCATAGCTGCCTATTTCTGGTCTGTTTTTCCTCACCTCTAACTTTGTCTTGTGTGAGTGTTATATTTTGGAGAGACTGCTTGTTGTTTAATACATGTTTCCTTGTCTCTTGTGGAAGCTCAGCCTTGAAGCCCTGGGTGAAAAACACCGATGTGGATGTTCACTGGGTCATGTCAAAGGGTTACTCAGGAGATCTGGAGTGTGACACTTCAGCTGGTTTCTGTCACAAGTGATCATTGTGTTCAGGTGATGTGCTCTAGCAGGCCAGATGGCAGGTGGGTGGGCTGTCTCCTGGGTGTGCAGGTGGCTCATGTGTGGTCAGCTGTTAAACCCACTCTGTCTGGCACCTGTGACCACTGTGCCTCATCAGCTGGCACAGCCACACCTTCAGTTGCTCGAGCATGGATGTTCCCATGAATGCTGCAGTGTGGAACCATTCACCTGGTGTGTCAGGGACAGTTAGCCGGGCCCTTGATCCCTCATAGGAAACCCAGGATGTTTTATCTGTAATTCCTGTGACAGACTGCTCAAGTGTCTGCTAACAGACTGCTGTGTTCAGTGCTGTGGGGAGAAAGCTGCACTGCTTTCTCTGTTCAAGGTGTGGGCAGCCCAAGGAGCCTTCTAGAAGGGATGCCAGGCTTTGCTCCCATCTCCTGCCCTCTGCTAGGTGTTAGTCCCAGGCTGGCTGTGTAGCAGAGATGAGCTTGCTGGCTGCTGCCTTTGCCATTCAAACCCCGAGCCCTGCAACCTCCCGTGCAAGCATTTGGCCAAAGCTGTGGCTGCCCACAGGCACGTAGGAGCCTGCCCCGAGCACGTATCCACTGGCTGCCCAGTGATTCCCACTGTGATCAGCTGCTGGATGGTGAATTTTATAGCTCAAATCAAGCAACCCTCCCTTAAGCTGTGCTTTAGAGCAGGGCAGTCCCTGCCCTGTGCTGGCAGCTTGTCCCCATCACAGCACAGTCTCTGAGCATGCAGAGCATGAGCATTTTCCCCCATTTCTTCTGGGGTAACCCAGGGAGATACTGCCCTTGTCTGCAGGGCAGCTGTGTGTGGAAGGGACTGGAGTATTAATGCTTTAGGGGGATCTAATTTCTAAACAGGCCAGTTGTATTCATGGGGAGTGAATGCTATTCAGGCAGCTCCCTGAAGGCAAAGGTTCTGCCTCTGTAGGTGAAAGATTTTTACAGGATATTATTGTTACTGTTTATTTAACCGTGTCTGACCTCCTGAGGCCTCTGGATTTTTTCTTCATTAGCACTGCTTGATATTTCCTTCAAGGTCCCAGGCTCTGTGACCTGTGCTTCCAGTTTCCATCCCTGAACAGGCACAGGGGCTTAGGGTGAGAACAGACTCAGGTCCCTGTGTGCTGGCCCCAGTAGGGGGCTGCTGAGGGAGCTCCCTGCAGGTGAAACTGCCACTTACTGTGGATTTTCTGGGATCTGTGTGAGGACTGGCACCTCCTGTGGAAGAGGGCAGAGATTCAGGGTGCCACAATGCAGGAGACACGTGCAGCTGTTTGCACACCCTGTGTGTGTCAATGCTGGCAGCTAAAGCTCAAGAGCCTCGTTGTGCACGTGTTACACAGCACTTATATTTCTGACATAGGATCACTGACTTTTTCTATTAACCCCCCCCCCCCCATTATATCAGGCTTACATGTTTTTTTATAAAAAGTAGAGTATAATATATTTCAGTTGTTTAATTTATTTTAAATGAAACGCACAATTCCCAAAGGAGCCAGGATTTTGAGCTCTGTTGCAGTTCAGTGCCAACAGCCATCCCTTCCCGTGCCCCCTCGTGCTGCTGCGGTTGTTGCTATTGCTACAGAACTGGAATTGTAAAACCAAGAGTCTACCTTTATTTAAGCAAATAAAACATGGATGTATTCAAATGAAGTGGCTGCCTTCTTGATTTATCCATGTTCAAGTCAGTTTTTGTTCTGAGGACTGCTTGCTTACAGCATCTGGCAGAGAGAAGTCACTAAGGGATCAGGGGGATATTCCTTCATGTACCTACCTGCACCAGGAGCTGGAGGATCAGAGCTCAACAGCTGAAGCCAGTGACCAGTTTTGTCTTTTCAGTAGAATCAGAAAGCAGTTTCAGAACAGAAATATTCCACATGGCTTCCTTCTGTCACTACATCTTAAATTCTCAGCCTGGGCTCTCAGCAGCAAGTCCGGTACTTTGCTGTGAATTCTTCCTGTGATCTTGGAACTGGCTCCTCGGGCTCCAGGGGGTTTTAACCAGGCATGACTTCCTTAGGATGCTGAGAAGGAAATCAGCATATGGGACTGTTCTCTTTCTCTGTCCTGCCAGGATAGCTGCTTATTTTGGGAAGCTTTCTCTGTGTTTGCAGAGCTTGTGCCTGCTGTTTCTTTTGGCAGAATGTTTTTGTTTATTTTCCTCCCAGGTTTGCTTGTGCTATCCATGATTCCAGGAGGCAGTGTAGGGTTCAAAGTCCTTGAAAACCGTGCATTTTACATGTGGGCTGGAGTATCTGGGGTCCTCCAACATCTCAAAAGGCAGCTGAAAACACAGTCAACACTGGTGGGAGATGGCTCTGGTGTGGTGGCACTGTGGGGTTTGGGTGAGGCTGCCTCACATCAGGAAGGGTCTGTCTGAAAGCAGCAGAAGCTGCTGACCCCCCTGGTGTGAGGTGTTTGTAAGGAAGTGCAGGCAGAGGCAGGAGCCATAGAGAGGCCATTCCCTCATTCCCCACTTTCCCTCTGTAACCTGTTTCAGAGGGCTCTGTAGGTTTTGTCATGGCAGGGGAGAAGATGGATCCCTGCAGGGCAAAGTGTTTCCAAAGGAAAGCAGGGAGCTGCTTCTGCATGGGACAGATGCTGTAGCACATCCCAGTGTGTTTGGAGAGGAGGAGGGGTGAGGAATGTCCTGATCCCATTCATCTTTCTCTCCCACTGCCTTATTGAGGATTCTGCTGCTCTGGGCTGGGTAGTGCCCCTGAAAGGCCATGGAACTGCTAAGGTGGTGGGGTTCTCCTCAAGAGCCACTCTCTGAGGAGCACTGGTGTCACAATAGAACACAAAATGAACAACACGCACAAGCTGAGATGTCCAAGGTAAAAAGAGAGCAGTTTATTTCTGAACTCCAATATTTATAGACTTTCAAAAGTGACCATAGATTGGAGGATGAAATTGCCACCTCTCCAGGCACACTGGTCAAACCAACAATCTATCAATGCTCTCCTCCTCCAGAAAGGAATGCAAAACAATCATTATTTACATGAAAAGTGTGTGAGAAACTTCAGTACAAAAATGTAAACATCAGAAGGCTTAGAGGAGTGGAGTGACACACCAGTGGCTGCAGATGCCCTGGGGCTGCTCTCTGGTGACCAGGGCTGTTCCCTGAGTGCAGCTCCTCCTTAGCTCTGGGGCTGCTCCTCAAGGCAACAAACCGTGAGGAGATTCATGGGATCTCTGGATACAGCATATTCTTGTGTGAAGTTGAGCTGGATGAATAAAGAGTTAAAAATGCCCCTTTAGGAGCCTCTGAACCCTACTCCAAGCTCCAGTTCCAAACAGGGAGTTGAGGACAGCTCTGACACTGTGGCACTGGTGTGTTCTCTGGACTGAGGAGCACTGCCCAGGTGGGAGGTGATGGCAGCTCCATCAGTGGTTATCTGGAGGACACAGGTGAGTCAGAGTCCCTTGACGGGGAGATTGGGCTAATCTGTGACATGGTGGATTGCTGCTGAGGTGAATGCTCATGCAAAAGCAATCAGAGATGGACAGAGATAGCCCCTGGCCCCAGTGCTTGCATGGCTGCTGCAGGAGCTCCTTCCTCGTGACTGCCTGGGGTCCTTTGGGGGCTGCTGCACATGGCCACGTGCAGGTACAGGACTCCTGGAACAGGCTGTTTGGAGAAGTTGTGGCTGCCCCATCCCTGGAAGTGTTGAAGTCCAGGGAGAACGGAGCTCTGAACAACCTGCTCTAGTGGAAGTTGTCCCTGTCTGTGGCAAGGGCTGGATGATTGTTAAAGTCTCTTTGAACCCAGGCCATTCTGTGATTGTGTGACTTTCCACTTACTATTCCCTCTTCATCTTTAGACAGAAGCTTCTGGCAGAGCTGGACTCTGCAGAGATGGAGAGAAAGCAGCTGGGTGCTTGATCAGGTGCAGGTGAGGACTTCAGCCAGGGCAGGTGGGTGTCAGTACCACGCCACGGCCCTGGCACGCAGAGCTGCTTGCCAGGCATGGCTTATCCAAAACACAGCTCTGTACTAGCCACTGTGAAGAAAACTGCCCTGGCTGAAACCAGCACATCATCCTACGCAGCCTTTCCAGGGCTGAGTCCGTATCCTGGGAGAAGCGAGCCTTTGGTGGTGTTTATGGTGTGTCCTGGGGGGCTCGGGGGAGGGCTCCCCAGGAAGCGCCATCACCCTTGCCGGGCAGCGCAGGGACAGGGACCGGGGCTGCGAGGGGAACCGGGGCTGCCGGGGGAACCGGGGCTGCGGGGGGAACCGGGGCTGGCCGCCGCTCGCCTCGCTGTCCGAGGAGCCGCTGCTGCACCCGGTGGCCGCGGGGAGGAGCCGCAGGACCGGGGATGCGCGCCCGGGGCTCGGGGATGCTGAGGAGGCCATCCGCCCGGCGGCCCCTCGCCCTTGGGGGCTGCCCGAGCGCAGGGCTGGGGGCCCATGGCATCACCAACACCCCCTGGGTGCCGCCATCCCCTCCCCAGGGCACACAGGGCCGTCCCCCGGGGCGGCAGGGCACAGGATGGAGGGATGGGAGTTGCCTCGCCTTCTTGCCAGCAAGCCCATAGGACTTGCTCCAGGGTCCCTTGCTCTGGCCCAGCCTTTGTGGGAGCAAAGTTCTGCCGCATTTTAGCCGCAGGTGATTGCACTGGGTCCCCTGCTTGGAGCTTTCCTGATGGGCCAAGATGTGGTTCGGTTTGGTTTGGTTTGGTTTGGTGTTTTACAGAGATATGGTTTGGTGTGAGGCAGAGCTTTTCCCTGTCTTTTCTTAGCCAGTGTCTGGAGGGCGCTGGGTGCCCAGGAGAGGAGCTCTGAGGACAGGTCCCCTGTCCCCAGGTGGGGTGGCAGCAGGGCACACCTGATGAGGCTCCACGTGTCCCTTGGGGCCTTGCCCAGCTCCCTGGCCTTGCTGGCCGCTCTCACACGCTGCCACCTCGCACTTGCTGTCCCCAGCCCGCGCCCCGGCCGGGGGGGCACCAGGCTCTGCCAGGGGACAGAGATGCTGCTTTGTTCCCCAGCTCGCTGCTGCCCTGAGGCTGATTGTGCACACACAAGACCCTTTCAGCACGGGGAGAGGAGGGTGATGGCATCTGGGAACGCAGGGAACAAAGGGCCCCGTTGATGCTGGCTGCAGCCCCAGGGGTTTCTGTCAGCCAGGGCAAGGCCGAGCTGTGCCACTGAGCTGGGGCAGCAGCAGTGCATGAGCTAAACCTCCCCTGGCCAAGCTGCATTGGGAAGCTTTGCTGTCTGTTCAGAGGGGGCTGAAACCAGGGAAGAGTGGGAGGAGTGGGATTTGGGCTAGGGTCCCATTTAGGAATAGTGAAGGTCCCACCCTGCCACTCCAGTGCATGTGGCTGTGCCTTAAATCTGCATTTTTGGACAGATACATGGGGCTGGGAGCATCCCTCTGTGGCCTCACTCCCTGGAGGCCCCTGGGCACAGCTTCTGGGGAGATTTCCAAGAGAAACAACATTTGAATCAATGATTTTTAAGCAGCTGCTGTGGAAAGATGCACCTAAGGGTTTCTGGGGCAGAAAGGCAGCAGCCAATGCCCTCTCACACACCAGCACTGTGGACACATTAACAATCCTGCAGCAAACAGCACCACAGAGCCACAGACAGGACATGCAGGGCTCTGTGACAGCCCAGTGTGTCCCTGTGCCTGAACAAGGCCATCCTGTTCCACACAGGGCTCTCTGCTAGCGAGACAATCGCCCACCCTGCATGGCTCTGGCCATGTTCATCCCACACATGCTGCCTTAGTGCCAGCCAGCCTGGCTGGAGATGCCCTGTTAGTTTTGTTGTGGTTTTGTTGTGCTACATGAGGAGACACAGCAGAGGCTGTCAGCACGTGGGCTGAGTGTTAAAGGGTAGCAGCAGCACCAAACACAAGCAAGCAGCTGCCACAAGACCCCAGCTTTCCTCAGGGTGGCTGGAGGAGAAATAAGAGGTTTTAAGGGCCCCCCCACCAGCTGGGAACAATGATTTTGAAGTCAGAGTTATGAACCTCGTGGCTGGCGTGGGCAGAGCCCTGCAGGGGCTGCTGGCCCACACATGGATCAGCAAGTACTGCCCCTCTGAGACCTTCTCTTCTGCAGCCTCCCCTTTTTTGTTTTCTTGTGGGGGCAGAAGGTGGGAAAGCCAGCACAACAAA